GGAGGCCGCGACCACAAAGTTTACAGAAAATGACTTATTTACTCAATGGGATTTACAAGGATGACAAAGTCAGATTTAGTAGTTGCAGTGTGGTCCTAGGAAGGGCAGGAGGAGGAGTACTTGAAAAACTGTACTGTATAAATAATCAAACAGAAAATAGTTTGCTTATTCTTCCATGTAAAGCAATCATATTTCAATTCCTAGACCAACTCTATCCCAGGACCCGCAGAAGTTTTCAGCATGTGCAGGAATTACACTATTCCCAACAAATATTGGTGCTGGGAGCTCACATACCTTAAATAAGTGTTTTTATTTTTCTATTTCCAGAAGATTGACATTGAAATTGGCATTGTGCTGAAATCGCACCGCAGGAGGGAGATGTTATTTTCACCATGGATTAATCTTAGAATTAGCAATGACCTGTCTTAGAACAGGAACACTGCTTTCCTAGAGAATTTCTCATTTCCTTTCCTATAAAGATGAGGGAGATAATCAGAGAAGCAGGCATTTTTTTAAGCTATCTAAAATTAGGAACTTCAAAATGCATTCTCTCTTTCTCTTTGTGTTTCTCTTCATTCATTTCACCAGCTGCAAGTGAATAGACTGAAGGGTCAAAAGGTTTATTGACTTTCATTGGAAACTAACTGAAGCAAATTTCCAGTGTTACTAAACGAACTAGCTGAATTTTTTTTTCATGTACAGTCATGGGCTGAAGAAGTCCCATGTTCTTCATTTGTTGCCAGGGAAACAGTAGGAACCAGTAACAAAACCTCCTTACTGTTGCACACAGGAGGACACAGTGGAGTGCAGAGAGATATAATGATTTTGGTGACTGTTCGTGCCATCAGAAATGAAAGTACCTCTGGTAATAAAAATATTTTGTTCCATTAATTGAAGCTGAAAACAGAAGCTGCTATTAAAATACTATGCATTTTAGTGCGATAACATTAAAGCATTATGTAGCAGTTTTCTTATTGTTGAGTATTCTGCTGGAAGAAAACAAACACATGATGGGCATTGAGCCTCTCAAGTGGAAGCTATACTTGGCTGGTAATGATGTCCACTATCTGTGGAAAGGAACCGCAACAGAGGCAACTCCTTCTTACCTACTTAGACAATGGATTTGGCAAGTCTCCTGTCCTAAACTGGGTATATCTGATCTGTACTTCAATGGCAGATCTCCAAGGAGAAGTTGAGGAAGTGCTACTGTTCATTCAGTGCAAGGCACTCTTTCTAGTAAATCTGCTTGGACTTGTGACCCCAGACTGTTTCCAGGCACTGTTTTGAATGGAGAGGTAGTTTCTTTCAAATGTGGCCTCTAGCAGACCGAAGGAAAATATCTAGTCTTCATTCATCTAACACGAGTTATTTGTAAAATATGGAGACGTTATGATCAGAACTGAGTACTCAGTTTTCTTCTTTGAAATATAAGTAATCATGGAATGGCTTGGGTTGGGAGAGACCTTAAAGAGCTTCCAGTTACAACCCTGTGCTGTGGGCAGGGCTGCCTTTCATCAGCTGAGGCTGCACGGAGCCCCATTGAACCTGGCCTTGAGTGCTTCAAGGGATGGTATGTTCACAGCTTCTCTGGGCAGCTGTGACAGTGCTTCACCTGCCCAATGAGCAAATAATTTTGTCCTTATGTTTAATATAAATCAGTCTTCCTTTAATTTAAAACTATACCCACAAAAAAGTGACACAGCTTTTGCACTCCATATCTCTTTTGCCTGCTTGTATATTTTCTCCCCATCACACCCAGTTTTTTTTTTAAATTCTCTGAATAGATTTCATTCCATCTCAAATGATATTCATATAAGCATTTAAAAATAATGGAATTAAAGTACATCTTTTAGATTCATGAAAGAGAGTTTGGGGGAAAGTTAACATATTCTTTAGATGCGATGTACTAGAGTCCTGTAGTATGAGCACTCAGGACTTTAAACAATGTCTGTAGGATTGGAGAGTGCTGAAAACATACAGCTTTGCATGCTAAAGCATCATTGATGAAATTTTTAATCTATGAAAAATTAAATAAACCTTTGCAATTTCCAGTAATGATTCTGTCATTGGAGATATGAGCCTTTATTAGAAGATGTATGTATCAAGGGAAGTTCTCTGAATTAGAGTGTCCTACCTTTTTTTTAATTTAGAGATGGAGATGAATAGGGGTCTGCTTTCCTCCTGTTAGCTTGTAGTTTGTGGTTTGTCAGTGAGAGCTTGGAGCACTGTGCATACCTGCAGAGTGAGATTCAAACTGCGTTATATTGTATGCACAGAAATAAATATTGGTTGATGATACAGGAATGCACAGCTGCACCTGATGGAAGAATTTTGCAGTAAATGAGGCTGCGGAAGTGTGACAAAATTTAATGCCACGTTAAGTGCTTAGCTAACAGCCCCTTGATTTGTACTTACAGGAAAGCTGAATGGCTCTGCTGGCTCTGCCAACTTGCAGAAATGAATAATAATTTTTAGTTAATTCCAAAATAAGCATTCTAAATATGCATATGGCTTCATCTCCGAGGGTATTCATTTTCAAGATAATATTTAAACATAAGTTTAAGTAGTGTTTAGCTATCAATGAAGTCATGGAACTAAGATTACTCTTAATTCCCATCCTCAAAACAAGTGAGAGAGGAGCATTTACTTGGCTGGGACTGCACCTTTTTAAAGTCACTTTTTAAACAGGTGTCTAGAATATTGTTAGTGTTGAATGCTTATTGAAGGACACATCAGAAGTTGAAAAGTAAATTCAGAAGTGTAACCAGAGTTAAACATAAAGGGTGAAAAAATGTACAGTCCTACAGCTAACAGAGCTGTGGAGATCCCAGCTGAAGAGGAAACCAAAACTTCTGAAAGATTAAAAAAAAAAAATGCAGCTGAATTTGTCTCATTCATTTTTTATTTTGATTTAAGTGTCTAGAATTAGTTTTCTTTGAAGAAGAGCAACAAAAAGTCCGTTTAAGTTGTTTCAGTCTTTTTGTGTCTTGTTTTAAGAATGAGCTTTAAATATGGTAGCTTTTCTTTAGTATGTGATACATAAATAAAATACATGATGGTACAGTGTAAGATTATCTTGGCACAGGTTTGGGATGACTACATCGCTTACAGAGCTTTTGACACTTGTGAATAATGCAAAAGTGTGCCAGTGAAAGGTCTTTATCCTACCAATATATATATGCATGGAGGTTTTTGTTAGTGTGCTCTGTTTCAGCACATTTTTTAGTATTTATTGTGAAAAGCTTTCACTTCTATGTGATATTGCACCGTATGCCTGCCAGAATAGCCCCTATGGCTTCAGATTTTGTGACATGGTGAAAATGAGCAGCTGTGATCTATTCAAAAGGATAAGGCTTGCATCCCATTCTTTATCTTTCCCTGCTCTTAGCTGCCCACTTATTTCATTTGCCTTGAACCAGTTTCTTGTGTGTTTGGCAGTATTGCAAGATATACCTTAAGAATCTTAGCTTAGGTGCCAGACCAAATAAGCCTGTTACCCACCATATGTGCATTCACTGCAGTGCTCATAAATGCGCTGTCCCAGTCGTGCAACCTATGGTTAGCCTGGGAAGGGTGGTGGTAACCAGCTGAAGTTCCAACAGAGCTTGCAGTCTGTGGCAGAAGAGCACAATTGATATTACTGTGGGACTCTGATGGTCCTGAACTCCTGTGAGTAGATCAAGACTTGACGTAGAAGGTTTTCAATTTAGTCCTGACTGATGCAGTCTGTAAAGCTCTTGGGCAGCACCATGCCTGCAACCAAACAGAGATGGGTTGGCTGAAATGAGTGGGGAAGAAGAGCGGCAGCCTTGGAAAAGGCTGTGCTGACTCCATCACATTTTTTGTAGCTCACGTTGTGCTGGCTGGCAAGGATGCAATGCCACCACTGTAGCTATGAGTGTGATCTGACAAGAGCTTATGTGGGATCATTAGAAAGGGAAAATAGTGTCATGTCATACTACTTAGTGTTAGAAAGCGGGAGGAAGACATGATCAAAAGGAGGGAGCCACAATGGAGGAAAGAGGAGAGAAATTTGTCTTCCTTTTAGCAGTATCAAGCTATTAAATTATTCCAGTAGCATCATGAAACCACATCCAGTAGCATGTAGGATTGTTGTGGTTTAACCTGGCAGGTGGCTCAGCAGCACACAGTTGTTCACTCACCTTCCCCTTCCCAGTGGAATGGGAGACATAATTGAAAAATAAAATAGAATCTTTGGGTTGAGATATAGCTATTTACTAAGATAGATAAAATGAGAAGGATAATAGTTATGACTATATAGAGATGACTATTTATAACAAGTGATCCACTGCCTGCTGACTGATGCCCAACTAGCCCCTGAGCAGCAGAAGGGAAAAAGATGAACTCCTACCCCTTTCAAAACTTTCCTTCCACGTGATGTCATATGGTATGGAATATCTCTCTGGCCAGTTTGAGTCAAATCTCCTTATTCTGCCTCCTCCCAGGAACTTTTGCTCCCTTTTGTAGGTAGGGCAGTAGAAAATTAAAATACATTTGGCTCTGTACGCCAACAACTGGAAACATTGGTGTGTTACCAACACCATTTTTCTCCTAAAATCAAAATGTAGCATCATCCCAGAGACAATGAAGAAAAGGAACTCTGTCCCATCTGAAACTAAGACAAGGATTCCAGTTTCCCTTTCTCCTGTCAAATACAGCTGAAAACAGGCTGTTTCACAGAGTTTGTCAAGAGTGGACACTGTTTTTGATGCAAGTATGAGGATCATTTTGATTCTTTACAACAAAAAACCCTACATAGTATATTTTCTGTAACTTCTATCAATCATGTAAGTAAAGACCAATTGTAAATGCAGAAATGGCAGCCACATAGAGGTCCAAAACAGGTGAGAGTCAGAGTAGGGAATTGTCTGAACGCTGTGTCTTTGCCTGAAGTATTCCAGTCCTTCCTGGGCTGCTCTCTGCCTTTCTAGATCTGTAAAGATTAATTTCCCTTCCTATCTCTGCTTGTCTGTTTGCAGGTTATCTTGACGAATCAGATTACCACATCGTTGAGCAATGGCCTTGCAATCCCAGCAGACCTAGTGTCTCCAGCTCATGATTTGTCCCTGTCTGAAGGTAAGAGATTGCTCCTATTAGAACTGAAACTCTATAGTGACACAAAACCATATTGTAACTCGCAGTCTTCAGTATGATGTATAGAGGTCTATGAGAGTCAGGTTATCAAACCTAACATGAAATAAAGGGAACAAGTTATTTTTCAATTGCTTTGAAAATTAAAAAAAAAAAAAAAAAAAAAACAAAAAAAAAAACAAACAAAAAAACCCACAAAACAAAAGAACTATTAACTGACCCTTTCCTAGGGGCCTGGAACAAATTTTCAAGCTGTGTTCATTTGTAATAATGTGTTACTTGACATTCTACTTTCATTTGCATATATTTAAGATTTAATTTTTCTCCTTCTGGAGTTGTAAGTAGAGTTAATGTACAGGCTAGGCCACAAGTTTAATTTTTTTAATGATTATTGGTAATTCCAAAGAGAAACAACTGGATACAAAGGAAGGACAGCAAATGCTCATTCCTGTTGCTTCTATTATGCTTGTCCTGTTTTTCAAACCCAGTGCCTCAAACTGCAAGTCTCAATATTGTGTGAATGTAATAAGAGCTTTTTGTGTGATACCATGTACTGCTTTATGTCTTCGTGTAATGTAATGCCGTAATTTCGACTCTTCCCACTGGAGTAGCCAGAGTGCCCTTAATTAGGGACTGATACAGAGGAGCCTGTTACTTAGAGTTATGTTCAATTGTAGGCCTAAATGTCTGATGAGAAGCAATGCTCACCTTTCCTGCAAAGGTGTGATAATTGAATGTTGAAATTTTACTTTGTATAATATGGTTATCTATTTCCTGTCTTTCTTCATTGAGCTTCCCGGTGGCTTTGGTCAGCTTATCTTTGTTCTGGCTGATCACAGCAGCCCTGTCAAGCTTGTCTGACCTAATATCAGAAAGCTCGGTGGCAGGGGTAAAAGCTGCCATTATTTCTGCAGCTCAGTAGATGAGAGGAAGATATTGAAGATATATTAAATGGAACATTAAAGAGCAGCAAATAACACCACTGTAATGCTTTGACACTGACTGTTCTCTTCATAATGTTGTCAATAGGAGCCTGGGCAAAACACGGCTCATTAAATAATTTTGAAATTGCGCTTGTGAGTTTTGTTGGCTCCATCCATTGATAAAGCATCTCTCAATTTCATTGCATGAATTTCACCCCCTATGTCTGTCAAAGAGTTGAGATTTGGTAACTAGATTTGAAAGGGAAAGGCATCATTTTTTCAACTGTATGATTTCTTTCTTGGCACAAATATGTTACACATTGCCTGATTGTCTCCCAGGGTTGGTCTGACATCCATAATATTTATTTCTATTTTGCAAGGAAAGAGTAGTTAGGTGAGTAGTCCATGCACACAAAGCAAATATGTTGCAGTCAGAAATAGACGCCAGATTCATGACTGTGTTCTTACCTCATTCTTCCTTTTCACTCATCACTAACTTAAGCTGAGTTTGAACCAGTGACCTAGATGTGAAAGGACCCGTAACACGTTATTAGTTCTGTAAGCAAATCAGACCTCTTGGTTTTGTATATGTCTAATATGTTGTTTTAATCCTATCTGAAGTCAGTCCTTCGCTGTAAATGGTTTGCTAAAGGGGTGATCTTTCTGAGAGGCAGAAATGAAAATTTCAAACTGAATGTATCATTAGAAAGAAATGAAATGTTTACAGTGGCTTTTGTTTTTGCTTCTGATCATGCTTTAGAAGGGAGTTTCATGGGTTACGTGTTAGATTAGGCAAGGAACCAAGGAAGCTGTTCATTTGATGTGTGACAGAAGGTTAATCTGATGAGCAAGCTGAAAGGACATTGTCAAGCTGTTTCATGTTCAAAATTTGTCTTCTTTAAAATCAGAATCTAACATATGAAAACTTGTCCTAAAAACTTTAGATGTTTATGAGAATAATAAAGGCTTTATAAAAGCAGAGTGTAAAATCTCCCACACTTAAGTAGCAATGTAAGAGCTGTTGAATTGTGCTTGTTGGTATTTCTTGTAGGAAATGGTTACATTCAGCTAAATGCCCTGATCTGTGCATACTTCTACTTTAAGACAGAAAAAAAATGCTTAGTTTGCTACAAATTAATGTTGAATAAAATAGGAAAGTTTCTGTAGCTATGAACTGAGTCCTTGCATTCATTTGGCCTTAATGTGTTTGCCAGGTTATCCTCTGGTTTGGTATGTTTCTCTTCATACCATATGACACTTCAAAAGATTCGGACACAGAAGTCTGTGACTTCTTTTCTGAAAGAGAAACTCATATTTATTAGACATAGTGTTCTTACGTGGCCTTATTGCAAACTCTGTCATCACAGGGAATAGACTTGGTTGAGCATGATGAGAATGCTGCTGTTTGCTTTTTATGCTTGCTTTGTGGATTAACTTTTTAACTGTTCTAGTAAATGACAAGTTTAAGATGCCTGAAGATTGTTTTTAATTGTGGAGATGTCAGACCACTCCACGACCATCACTACACTTCAGAATGTGCCGTCAATAATTATTTAAATAATCATCTCTCTAATAATGAGATTTATTAGGCTAGGGGATTAAGCCATTATTTGTGACTGTGACTGTATTATTTTTATTTTTGCCAAGTTCACATGATTGGATTTTACCTAATATAGAGGATCTTTAGAAATGAATTCATAGGCAGTCTGTTTGAGTGCTTGCTGGAAGGTGATGTTTCTGTGTTTCACAAGTATTAGTCTTACAAAGCCCAGGTTTAGCAAAATTAAGCATATTGTTCTGTTGTATAAAGAGATAGGACAGTATGACCTACTTGATGTCCTTTCTAGTCCACCAGTGCCTATCCTAGTAATATATCTGTCAGCTGCAAGCTCACACTTCCTCTTGCACACATCAAAGATGAGCCTCACCTTTCTTGGAAGAAGATGAGGAGTGTGTTGGCATGAATGAGAGCAGAATCCTCCTCCAACCATGTACAAAGTGTAAGGCAAAAAAAAATCTGTCTCAGGCTTCTTGAGTCTCAGCTGGCACCTTAAAATATTTATTTGAAAAAGTCAGAATTATTTTGTGTTTAAAGTTGTCTGTAAACTCATGCTAACTCTGGGGAGGCCACCGTTCAGTCTTCTGCCATTTCTGTTCATCAAGCAGTTTGTCATATGCTTGCACGTTTTCAATGCACAGTGTGAGCAATGAGTTTAGTTTAGTCTGACCTTTTCATCTTTGTTACTGTGATCTTGAATTCTTTTAAGATGCTGAGCAGAAGTACCATAATATCTCTCACCCACAAAATTTTCCTGCTTGTGATCATGGGACTTCAGTCTACAGGCAGAATATTTTAAATTAGAATGTTTGGCTTCTTTGTGTTGCTTTGTCCTGGCCATTCATCTATCAGATTGTTGAAACATCTTACCCTTCAAGCCTTGGTTTAAAAGGTGTCCGATATATTTTTTTGCCACTTTTTTGTTGGTTGTGTTGTTGGTGGGGGTTTTTTGTTTTGTTTTGTTGGGTTTTTTGTTTTTTGTTTGTTGTTTTCTTTTTAGTTTTTCAAATTACTCTCAAAGGGAAAATAGTAAGTTGTAAGTTGACCTGCTGTTCACCTCAGAGTAAGATCAGTAAGATCTGTCGTTTACTACTTCTCTTCCTTCAAATCCCCTTTTTCAGTCCTGGTGCTGAATGGGAAGAAAACAGTGAAGGAATTGTCAAGAGAAGTGAGGTGGCGCCGGAGATGAGAGGCTGTTGTTTGGTTTTATTATTTTTTTTAATTTATTTATTTATGTGTATACAAATTGAAAGTTGGACCTAGAGGTGACTTAATAAAAATCAAAAAGAATATTCTGGGGAATCCAAACATTGCTGTTTTGCAGGAACGGTGAGCTTATGAATAGAGCAGCTGTTAAACAAGCTTCTAAAACACTTCTTCCTTGTAGCTTTACAGATAATGCAGAGTAAGTTATGTAGTACTCCAGATTTATATGAATTCAAATAAAAGTATAGCGCTTTGACAAGCTTTAAGCCTCTAATATTTTAACTGCATACTCTCTGTTACAGGCTGATTTACACAATTTTTTTATGATAGAGGAGGTGGTTTCACTTGTATCAGTGAAAAACTACTGTTATTTAAAAAATGAAACTATCTTAAGTGATAAAATTCATAAATTAATATCTTATCTTTTTAATAAGAATTCACCCTGTCTTTCTGAGACCCAAATATTTGGGAATAGTTAGTGAAAACATTACCTTTGTCATTTTTGTTATCATTATGGAATAATTTGGATGTGTGGAGAATTCTGTACTCAAGTTCATGTAACTTGAGTACAAGTTGTAGTACAGTGGGAAAAAGATCTTTTAACTGTGACCTCTTAATAGATCCTGTAAAGGTCAGTGAATTTTAAATTTGCAAAAAATCTATGAGTACAAATAACACTAGAGATACTTCCCAAGTAACCTGGCATTGAATTCCAACAATTAATCCACATCCATGCGTACCAGAGGTATGTTACCCAAGGCTGATGTGGCTGTGTGAACTCGGAGGACTAAAACACATACCTGAAAAGGTAATAGAGTTCTCTGTTTTTTTCATTTATCTTGATAGTGAAGTATTCAAATACAGCTTTTGCCCTCTACTGTCATGATGGAGCAGGGAAATATAGTGAGATTTGTATCTGTTTTTACTTCACAATATAAATTGCTACCGTCTATGTGATGGTGTTGTTGCCAGGCCCAAGACCATTTTCCCTCCATGCTGGGAGATCAGATCTAGATGAATCCATCAGCTACAGAGATGTGCATTCAGGTCTGAACCCAGGGTGTCTATGACTTTGTGTAGGAGTCAATCAACTTGCTCAACTCATTGATTCCAGTTCATGTGAAGTGTAACAGAACAGGTGGAATTGTTTCTAGTTCTTTATTGTGCTGCTGGACTTCATATCTAGCTGTCTTCTAAAAAACTACCCCAACACAGACCCTGTGATCCAAGTCAATGACACTGTGGGAAACTTTCTCTTCCTTCAGTCTGTTCTCTGCCTTTGAGTTATTCAGTTATTT